ATAAATATATATACCCATACCTACGCCTATATACATACATACATACATACACATGAATATACATTCATATACATATCTATATATCTACATATAAAGCCTACATAAGCATCCCTGCTTCTATTTGTGTGTGGTTGTGAGCATGCATAAGTGTATAAGGCTTCTCTAATAGAACATTTAATAGTAACTGTGAAGCAGCAGAGACCTGACCCCCAAGACCAGAGGCAGACGAAAAAAGGGGGGACCAGAGCCCAAGACCCCAGGAGGGACCCCGACCGCAGAGCCCCCAGGGCCACCCACACAGGACGAACCACTCGCCCACCCCCCAGATCGGACCACAGGGGAGAGCCGGAAGATCCCCACCAGCGACCACATACAGTGACCCCCCGGGGCCAACAGCGACAAACTCATAGGCCCCCGCCGGAACACGCCGCACCGATGCAGGTCCAGGCCCGGGCACGGAGGCCCGGGCACCGAGGACCCACACCACCCAGGCCAAGGCCTGACAGGGCCAGAGGACCCGAGCCCCACCAGGCAGATACCAGACAGAGTCGACACACGGCCAAGCGCCCAGCCCCCGACTCCAAGGGCCCCAAGCGCGCCAGCAGGCAAGGGCACACCCCACCAGGGGGCCGCGCGATAGGGGCGCGATGCCAAGCACCCGCAGTTGTATCAAAGAGGGGGCAGTCCGAGTCTCGGCCTAACAAATACCCATTCATACACAGACACAATCACACAGTCCCAGCCTCATTCTCACACTCACTCACTCAAAGACATACAATAACGATACATTTCATTCTTATTCCCGATACGCACTCTATACCCCCCAGGTCCAAGACATGTACCAGCCCTCTACAGGGGGCAGCCCATGCCCAAACCCAGGAGGTAAACCCATTCATTCTCGAGCGGAGAAGAGCCAATACCCCAGACCCGGCCCAGGCCATGCCCCGCTGACAGGACACCCCCCCACCATGAAGAGGACACGCCACCGACCACCCCCACACACCGCCAACAACCAAGCACGCGCCCCCAGCCGACCGCCCGCCAGGTCCCGGCAGCCACCCCGGCCAGCGGGCCAACCATGGCACCCAAGAGCCAAGCTCAGGGGGTCCAAACAACCCCAGGGAGAGCACAGCGCCAGCACCGCCCACGGCAATCCCCCAGACCCCGAACCCCCACATAGTCCTGGTCAACACCTGACGGCCTGCCCTTCTCCCGGACCCCACCCCTGGAATGGCAGTTAAGGAACTAGTGGGGGAGGGAAAAAAATAAATAAATAAGACCCCGACACATACACCCCCGCCCCTAGATGTGCTGTTGATGTGTGTTGTTGTATAGTGCCATTAAAAAGGAAAGAACAAGGAGCAAAGGCTGGCATGGTGCCAGTTTCCCCTCCACCCCAACTCTATCCAAACCCTAGTGTCTAAATGCAACCGTTGTAAGTGAGCACAGGCACAGGGGGTGAGAGTAAGGTCATCCCACCACCCATAGCCACGTGCCCACCTCAAATTCCTATATATGAATGTCATGAGGATGTTATGAATGAATGTCTAAGGTGTACAATAAAATTGAGTCCCAGATGGCTATGGTCAACAGAGATGTAAAATTGTTGCAGCACACCCAAGCCCAAACAACCCTAAATGTGTGGAATTGAAATGAAGAGGGTGGAGGTGCATGGTGAGGGATGGGGAGAAATAACTGTGAGAGCAAATGCTCCCACAGGGAATCCGCTCCCCCACTGACCCAACAGCCCCCCCCCCCCCCCCCCCCCCCCCC